TGGAATCAAAAAAGAGGAGAGAGAGAGAGGAGGGAAGGAGGGAGGGAGGAGGGATGAGCGATGGGGCAGGGGCTCAGACGGTGGTAAGGAGGGAAGAAAGGGTGAAGAGGGGAACATAGGGCAGGGGGTTGAAGACACGTGGTGTAGCGCAAGGCATCATGACGACATGGCAGAGCTGGCAGATCTCTGTCTCTGTTGTCTCTCAAAATGCCTCCTACTGTCATTGCGACAAGTTTGGCTTCGATGCGGTGTGAGGACAACTGGATGTGAAGAATATGAGTGCAGACGATAGAAAAAACCTTAGGATAGGGATGTTTGTTTCAGACAGATGATAAGAAATGGGAGGAGGGTGAAGAGGAGGATTTGACGGCGTTTCACATGCATCAGGACTATGTTTTGTTGTTCTCCATCATTGCTGACCTCAAGGTATTGAAGTGCGAGGAAAGATATAGAGTTTACACAGCATGTTTGCTTCACCGTGTTGGATGGCTGAGAAAAGTTTGTTGGAACAGATTTCGCCTACATTATGAAAGCAATATCTGGTCAATGCATCGATGTTCATATTGACTAGAGATGAATAAACATGCTTTCCTGGTACAACTTCCAATATGTCTCCCTCTTTTATTTCCTGTTCCCCTCCTTTCCTCCCCTTCCTCCTCTCGTTTTTGGATTTTTCGCTCAGTCGTTCCCCTGCTCACTTTGCATCGTTCGAAAGTCTTCCTTGGCTGCCCGAAATTCTTTCGCCGCAAATTGCCCCACTGTCCTTTCTCACATCATCGCATGAAAAAGCTGATGCCAATTCAAGCAGTTTGTTCGGTGTGGCTCACCGTCCCATCAAAGAAATTGTGCCATGTCAAGTAGCTTGTTCGGCGTTTCCCCTGATGTGTCGCATCCCGCCATGGTCAAAAAGTTTGTGCAATGAAGCGCATTCCCCGCCATCCGCCACCATCCGCCATGGTCAAAAAGTTTGTGCCATGAAGCGCATTCCCCGCCATCCGCCATGGTCAAAAAGTTTGTCCTGATCGAGACATTCTCCCACCGGGAATCGAACCCGGGTCTCGTGGGTGAAAACCACGTATCCTAACCGCTAGACGATAGGAGAGGACAGGAGGGTGGGTCCTCATAGGGTATATATAGTCGATAGCACCGGTACTTGTTGCCCGCTACTTCTACTGCGCCAGGTATGCATGGGGCGGGAGAGATAGGAGCTGATGAAGGGCAGGGGACGGAGAGGAGCTCAGTGATAGAGAGCAAGAGATGGAGGTATGGGGCAGACGGAGGTATGGGGCAGATGGAGGTATGGGCCGGGCAGATGGAGGTATGGGGCTGATGGAGGTATGGGGCAGACGGAGGTATGGGGCGGACAGAGGTATGGGGCAGACGGAGGTATGGGGCAGACGGAGGTATGGGGCAGATGGAGGTATGGGGCAGATGGAGGTATAGAGCGGGCGGATGGAGGTATGGGGCAGATGGAGGTATGGGCCGGTCAGATGGAGGTATGGGGCAGACGGAGGTATAGAGCGGGCGGATGGAGGTATGGGGCAGACAGAGGTATGGGGCGGACGGAGTATGGGGCAGACGGAGGTATGGGGCAGATGGAGGTATGGGGCAGACAGAGGTATGGGGCGGACGGAGGTATAGAGCGGGCGGATGGAGGTATGGGGCAGACAGAGGTATGGGGCGGACGGAGGTATGGGGCGGACGGAGGTATAGGGTTAGACTGATTGCAATGCTGGAGGATAGAGACATGATAAAGTTACATCATGCGACGAAGGAGAGAGGACATACCAGCATGTGGATTTTGCCAGCAGGAAATCGTACCCTGATCCATAGGCGACAGGTAACTTGCCTCGGCAAGCAATTGTTACAGTGGAGCAGGGCGAATACTGAGATCAGATGAAAACAATGCAAGCACATCCTTCCTTTGATGGATAAGGGAGCTGAGTTGACTGGAGAGGAAAGGTGTCGAATCAGCCAAGTTCGACGCCAAGGAATACATCGGCATAGGATCTGATAGAGAGAGGGGTTGTGTAGAACGCGGCAAGTACACCCTGAAGGACTGTGCCTGACTCGGTTCTGATGATTGAGAAGGCTTCAGGAAGTTCTTCCTTGGATCGACTCAGTTGTTCAAGTCGCGTTAAAGCTTGCAAGGCGGCTTCGGCCGGCCGCTGTTCCGGAACCCGGGGGCCCGGCCTGAGTTCAAACGGTTGTCAAACTGTGACCCGCCGGCGGCTCCGCCGGGGCCTGAGCCTGCCAGCCCGGGTTCCGGCGAACTGTTCCGGACTCGGGATCCAGGCCAGGCTGGCCGGCCGCCGGCGGGCCGTCGGAGTCGCCGGGCCCTGAGGAGGCCGCTCGCCGTGACCGTACCGTGCGGCAGTGTCCGATCCGGGCCGGGCCCGGACCTCCGAAAGTGACTTTGTTGATTGGAAATTGATGATTGCCCCTTCAGGCTTATCACTGAGTCAGTCCGACCGTGACTCGCCGGAGGAGTCCGGTGGCAACCGTGAACTTTGAGGCGGTGCCAATTTGACGTGAAGTTCGTCGATTATTTGTCTACTGGCCGTGGGTCCATTTTAGTGATGACTCCGTGCCATGACCCTACCCCGTTCAAGTCCGCAACTGAGCTGTTTGTCTCAAGCTAGAGCCCTGATCCATGGACCTCTCTCCGGCTACCCCATTTGATATCAGTACTCCACTTATAATATCGGATCCTTCCAATGGGCTCAATTCAGCTCCCGTCAGTTCTGAACTCCTTCATTGCCCCCACCCCCCTGGAGAAGTTAACTTTTCCCGTACCCCACCCACCTGAAAAAGCAAACCTTTCATCAGTGTCCCCTAGAAGAACCCCTCCTATCTACTGTCATCCACCCCCACCTTACAGATATATTTATACACAGTCAGCCTGACTGACCTCTATCGCACTGCAATGCCGTGGAACTGCAAAACTTGCCAGGCAAGGGAGAACTGAGCTGCGATGAGATGCTTGCTAGCTCCCTGCTTCTTCTCTCAGACCTTCTGACGTGAGATGCTTCAGATCATCGTCGATCCTTGCACCTCTGACAACACGAAATGCGTAAGCTTGCCGAATTCGTCTTGTTTGGCATGTGACATATGTTTTGTTTCGCGATGATATGATTCACCATGGTTCTTTCTCGCAAGGCGGTGAGAATCAGTGCATTGGGATATTGTGCAGACAGGGAAGAATCAGACTGACATGCATCTTTGCAATTTGATCGCTCTTTCGCTCGGATGGATTGTCGATTGGGCTGGATAGGCGGTAAGTGACGCAAATGAAATATGCGCTCAGAGATCCAGTAGACTGACATGCATTCTTGCACAATCTTATTGCACATTGTTCGGGCGGTATCTGGTCTGGACAGCCAGTAAGTTGCATATGATACAATGCGCTCAGGGAACGGTCAGGCTGACATGGATTTTGTGTTTTCGATGGGCTATTGCTGGGATGGACTGTGGATGCTGGTGGATAGCTTGTAAGTAACGAATGATGCTGATGACGCGGTCAGGGAACGAGTAGACTGACATGGTTTCGTGATTTTTATGGGTCATTCCTCGGATGCTACGTGGAGGATGCTAAATAGACTGTGAGTGACGCACAGGAAATGTTGGGGAACGATTGGCTGACAAATCATCTAGACTTTCGGTATGCATCCTGACCAGTACCATGACAACTGCCAGTGGTGTGGAAAACCGAAAGAAGATCACATTGGTGAAAGAAGTTTTGCCCGGTGAAGCCCATCATTTCCTCAGGGAACGATTGGCTGACGAACAGTCTAGACTTGGGAACTGGATAACGATGGCATCTGCAAACGGTGTGGAATACCCGAGGAAGATCACATTGGTGATAAGACGTTTTGCCCGGTGAAGCCCATCATTCCCTTAGAGATCGGTTAGACTGACGTGCATCTTTGCAATTTGATCGCTCTTTCGCTCGGATGGATTGTCGATTGGGCTGGATAGGCGGTAAGTGACGCAAATGAAATATGCGCTCAGAGATCCAGTAGACTGACATGCATTCTTGCACAATCTTATTGCACATTGTTCGGGCGGTATCTGGTCTGGACAGCCAGTAAGTTGCATATGATACAATGCGCTCAGGGAACGGTCAGGCTGACATGGATTTTGTGTTTTCGATGGGCTATTGCTGGGATGGACTGTGGATGCTGGTGGATAGCTTGTAAGTAACGAATGATGCTGATGACGCGGTCAGGGAACGAGTAGACTGACATGGTTTCGTGATTTTTATGGGTCATTCCTCGGATGCTACGTGGAGGA